CAAATACCTTGCCACTGAGGTTTTGGAATTGGTCAAGAATGCAGTTGTGACAGCAAGAAAAATAGGATGATTACAAGTGATGGAGTTTTTCCAAACACCAGTCAGTTCTATTTGAGAAATGAGTATTAAAGAGGCAAACAAAGCCTGTGGAAGAGCTCTAAGAGGATTGAGAACCAGAAAGGCGTTTCAAACAATGCCTGTAGAAGTGTTCCAAGAGGAGTGAGCATGAGGGAAGCAAACAACGCATGTGGAAATGCTCCAAGTGGAGTGAGTTCGATAGGTAAGCAGTGGCCCTGGAAGTGCTCCAAGAGGAGTGTACATGAGAGAGGCAAGCAACGCCCGTGGAAGAGCTCTAAGAGGAATGAGCACGAGAGAGGCAAGTAATGCCTGTGGAAGAGATCCACTGAGGAGTGAGCATTAGAGAGGCAAACAACTCCCGTGGAAGTGCTCTAAGGGGATAGTATGCATGAGTTATGTGCTCTCATTGCTTCAACTAACAGATACTAACAAAAAAAACTTCACAACTTATTGCTTTATGAGTTAGTATCCAAGTTGAGAATGAATAATATCTGTCGAAGGATTAGCCTTAAGTTAGAAGATATTTCTGTAGTTCATGAGTTAGTATCCAAGCTAAGAATGGATGATATCTATTACTCAGCTTAAGGTGGATTGTCAAATGATATTTATCTAATCCCATTAAATAAGGGAAGTGGTTGACCTCCCTAATTTATTTGGTTGGATTTATTTAGATTTGGTTGCTAGTTTCTTGTTTGAATGGAGTTCTTTGTTGGTAGTTCCTTTCTTGTTGGTTTAACATGATATTTTGAGGTCCATTGAAGTCCACTTTGAATCTAGTTTTTCAATTACTCCTTTAATGGATGATAAAAAAAAACATTGCTTCAAATGGAAGATGCTAATCTTTTAGTTGGTCTTGGTCATTTGGGTAAATGATTAAGTATTTTGGTCATTTTCATTTGAAGATTGAAAGATGGGACAATAGCAAGCATAACAAACCAGAATTCATCAAAGGTTATGGGGTTGGATTAAAATCATGAACTTACCTCTTCATGATTCAAATATGCACTTTCATTGGAGCAGGTAACACTTTGGTGGTTTGATTTGAGTTTCTTCTAAAACTCTAATTCGGTTAGATTGTATTGCTGCTTATTTTTAAGTTGAGAAGAACCTTTGTGGTTTCATCCCAACTTCAATTTAAATTACTAATCTAATTGATTTCCTTCATCTAAATATCTTATAAAAGCACTTTGGATCTAAAAGACTTTTCAATTTGGTGGACGTTTTTTGTATCAGTTTTGTTGTTGAAGATGATAAGTTTCCTCAACATAATTGTTCACGGCCGGTTGTTGATTTATTTGTCCATCCACCAGACTTTTTGCATGCTTCAAAGGAAAACTCACATTTCCTTTGTGCATTTCACGGCCAATGCTTGCACGATTAGCCTCTATTACTGTAGCGAGGCCTTGAGGGTTCAGATACCTTTCCTATTGCTCCTACCTTAAAGAGGTACCTATTAAGGCCATTGGGACCTTGTTTAGTGATTCCATTAGGGCGCTTGAGGTCTTCTAAATCCTTAGAAATATTTTATTGCACCTTATCCTCTTTCCTATACTTGAAGAATAAGTGCATCATTCTTCATTTCCTCCATTCACTAAGGGTTAATTCTTTGAGTTCATATAATGTTGAAGAAAACGTATCAAGTCTTTTGGCCCATCTGTTAAGAAACTGTCATTCAAAATTGTTAAGAATTTTCTGTAGCAGATCCTTAACGTTTTCACTAAGAATTGATTCTTTTGTCAATGGATCCTACTCATTCTCTTTCACAAGGAATTCCTTTTTGATACTTGTTCGTTCCCTTGAGGTTTGAGTTTAGTGTTTCTTCCTCGGTGGTTTGGACCTCAATTTTGCTATTCTCTTTGGTGGTTTTTCTATTTGGTAGGAGCTTCTTTTAGTTTCCTCAGTTGTTTCTATTCAATTCTTTTTTGCGGCTTTTGTTTAAGATTGTTATGATTCTTGGGAGTTGTCTTTGGCTTGATTTTGTGAGGGCGACCTTTTGTGTTGTATTTGGTCATTCAAGCTCTTTCCTTCCAAGTTTCACTCTGTATTTGGTCATGGTTCTTTCTTCTGAACCTGATTGAACGAGGTTTTTTTTTTCTTTTTCTCTTTTTTCTTTTTTTATTCCCTTCGATCATTCCTTAAGTTCCATAGGTTTGATCCGATAGAATCGCCGCATTCCATGTAACAAGCAAGCTTTTTACCCTCAAATTCAAAGATGTGGGTGCAAAGTTCAAATATGTGGGTGCAAAATGCTTTCTCATGCAAGTTTTTGCAGAACAAACACAGTCATCTAGGTATGTCGAGCATCTAGATTCCCAGACATTTTGATATGTGATATTGTGATACTGCAGAACAAACTCTGTACAGGGGAATATTTGTTATTTGTTATTTCAACACTTCTCTTCACTTGTGGGCTTCAAAATTTGTAATATGTGCAACAATGGAAATCAAGTATCGAGGAAGAAAATGTTGTTATTGATTATTGAGGGTTCGAACACAACCCCAAAGCCCAAAGCTTAAGCTAGCGGGTTACAGTAAATTTGATTATTTCAACAAATATATTTACCACTTATTTGTTAATAGTAGATGGTTTTATGACAATTGGTTCATTCCCACTTCGAGGTTAAGTTGAAAATGTTCTAGTTGAATTGCTCTCAACTATTTATTTATTTTTTCTTTTCTTTTTTTAACATTTCATATATATATGTTCGAAAATAAAATCGAAAATTTATATCAGTTGTATAGTGAGTTATGTTTTATCTTTTCAAGGTTAGAATATTAACTGCTGTTAATCACTTTTTGATGAAAAAGTTGTTTTTTTGTTAAAAATATCTCCCTTTTTCTCTTATTCGGTTTGTGATGTCGGGTTATGTCCCCCTTAAATCTCTCTTGCTCAAGCTTGGGCTGATTTTTTTTTATCCTTCCTCTTATGCTAATGGGCAAATCAAAGTCCTAAGTTTCAAGTGTTGATGTCTTAAAAAGTAATTTATTGGATTCTACAAGCCTACATCAACTTGATACTTGTTTTGTTACTTAATGAAATATAATATCTTCACTGAGACCAAGTATTTTGTGGTAGGCTGCTGAGGGCTTTTGCCGAAGATACCTCATCTCACGTGAATCGTTGTACAGGAAGATCGATGGTAAGTCTCCAAAGTTGAGTACTTAAATCCCAAGTTTTCATTTAAAGTTCAAAATTTAAAATTTCCTTAAACTCAATAGGTGTCTGATCAAAAGGCTACTCTACCTCTTTCAATATTCATAAGCACACAAAATTTAATTATTTTTTCCAGAGATCAGGGTTCGAGGATAAAATGTTGTCCATGTAAAGTGACTTAAACTTCAAGTTTATAAAAATATACAAATAACCTCTATTACAAGCCTACAAATAGATTTTATCCATTGACAATAAGAACAGGGGTATTATCTTCTACATTCTTTTTGTTGATCAAGTTTGAGTTGGTTATATCTAAGCTTTTAGATAATATCTTATAAAATATTTTCGAGCAAAACCTTGGGTGGATCATACTCGAACGGGATATATTCTATAGGTTGTACCTTGTGTCCTTGAGTTAAACAAACTGAATCTTGAATGACTGTTCTCAACAAGCCTTGCTTTTTCCTGATCTCCTCAAATCTGGGTAAGGATACATAACTTTCTCATGTTTCCATAATGAATGCATTCTTTACGAAACGCTAGAAGTCTATTGGAAAGTCACTCCTCTTTCGTCTCAAGTTCATGATGTCATAATGGTTCCTTAAAGAGTTTTTTTTTTTCTTTCATATTTCAGGAAAGACAGAGTACGTATATGCTCGTGTAATGGAGTCTTCTCGGCTTGCTCTAGAGGTTGTAATGTTCTTTTCCTCTTTCCTCACTTCCTTTTGTATGTAGTATACTTATCTGCATATTTTTTCTTCCAAAAAAGAGAGAGAACTTTACGTTAAAAACGTAATTATGACCCTCCCTACAACGTGCTAAAAAAAAGTCCTCCGAGAAACAAATCTTACACTTGCAAAAATGTCTCTCAACTATAATTGATTATATTGGAGGAATAATCAGAAACCAGTCTTGTTTGTGAACACGAAATTTTGACTTTTAGAATAATTTGATTTTAAAATCAATTAGATTATCTTTGTTTGAGACTACTTTGGTCTGTTGCAAATCAAATACTCTAAAGATAAATCTTTAACTGCATTAATCCATGGAAATCTTGCTTTACTTTTCAGCTTCATTCCATTCATCCTGCTATAAACCACTATCCAAAACCCACGAACGCTTCGAAATGTTATCCTATGACCCATTTCGTTATCTATTTACTTCTATATTTTCTTTAGTCCTAAACATTTGGTATTTGATGTGAATTATTTATCATTTAGAACTTAGGGGTCCCTTAAAAAAAAACTGTTTTTAGTGGGAGTATCAACGGTTCTGTACCCACTAATTCAGGTGATGATGTTTCAGTGAACTTAAAAATGTTAAATGCATGTCCATAGTTAATTTGAGTATGTCAGTAAGTTATGGTTTGTCCTTTTAGCCCTTCCAAGTTAGTTTTGTAGAAATCCCAGTATAGTTGATCCGGATGGTATTTATCATTTCGTAAATACATTGAATATTTACTTGTAATATATTACAACTGTAGTTGTGTTTGTAGGCTCTTCTAATATTTCTTTTATTTTGTCCCAGATTTTTTCTGAAAATTTACCTGCCATTATAGCTAAAATATCATTCCCAAAGTCGATGAGATGGAATTCTCAGGTACGGACACAGAGCATGTTTCAGTTGATATCATGTGGCTCTTGATTTTTAATTCTCTGTTTTCTCTTTTCCATTTGAAGTACCGAGCTGCTGCAGTCTTTTTTTTTTTTTTGGGGGGGGGGGGGGGGTCTGTTGGGGAAGGGGGTGGTTCTGCAAACACTTTCTATTTTTCTTTCTGGAAAAATAATCATAGATCTAAATTTTCAGGGATGTGCGATACGTGTGCAGTCCCCAATGAGTTTACGGAATTGGATGTCTGTTGTATGTTCCTTCAACTTTTGTTTCTGATGCCAATTTATTTTAAGTAAAAGAAGTTATTCTCTTTCCTTTTCTTTTCTAAGGAAGATTTTTCTTTTAATTTTAGTGTACTTTATCTTTTTTAATAGGTCATGCTAGAGTTATTATTTCAATGTTACAAGATGTACAGAAGACCAATCAGAGGATGACAATGTTGCAATTAGTTGACAAATTGAAAGGAAAGCGCGACGAACTAGGTTGGTTTGCTGATTTTTGATATTCTTTACTGTCCGAAGATATCAAAGGATGAGTATACAATTGATTTTTGTATTGCTATTTCACATGGTTTATTAAAGCTTAGAATGGAAGAGGCTGTTTTCGCGTTTTCACGTGCTTGCATTNTCTCTTCATAATATCTCCATACCTATAACAATGTGCACTTGAGCACGATGAAAGGAAAAGAGATTAAGTTCGTTAATGCTCCCCATATGGTATCCAAAATATGCTACTTAATCATACAATTTTGGATACTAAAATGTTGAAGATTGAAAATATAAGTATGCAATTGGACACTAAAAAGTGGAAGCTTATTGAATCAAGGGCAAAAGTATCTTTTATCACGAACGGCAAGATCCTACATCAGTTGTGGAGGAGAACGAAGCATTCTTTATAAGGGTGTGGAATCCTCTCCCTAGTATACGCGTTTTAAAAACCTTGAGGGGAAGCCCAAAATGAAAAGCCCAAAGAGGACAATATCTACTGGCGGTGGGCTTGAGCTGTTACACGAACACTTTAGTACTATTGGGTACGTGCAGTTCCAGCTATTGCAAAGCTAGGTTGAAAGGAACTCTTATATCTTTTTAAGTTAAAGATCCAGATTGGAAACACTATGCAGTAAGAATCTTGTGTTTCACTTTTTATAGGAACAAGAACAATAGTCTAGTACAAGATACATGGCAGAGTTATAGAATTTTTTTGGCATTAGTTTGGTTGGTAAAAAAACGAGGCAAGTTGCTTTGCCACTGAATTTGGGCAAATATTTGGGGTTGGTAACCTTTTGCACTAGTTCATATCTGAAACTCGATCAAGATGAATGATTGGATTCTCTAGGATACTTCATCAGGCCTTTTGAAGTTTCGTCCATCATCATATGTTCATGTTTATGAAAAAGAGATTATTTTTCAATTTCTTTAAATATCCTGTACTTCACTTTTTCTTTTTCTTTTTCTGGATATGTCACTGCCCTTTACTGTCGATCTGCAGGTCGTGTTTAGCAGGCCTATTCGCTGGATTCTGGCGCTCCACGGTGATGTAGTTGTTCCCTTTTCGTATGCTGGTGTGTTAAGGTGATGTATGATCTCTCCCTGCATTCCTGCATCCCTGCATCTTTGATGTCTACATGTGAAATGTGAGACATGTGCATGAGAAAATTTATGAGCCTTAGCTCTTTGGTTAAGCTGAGGTTTTTTATTCACATGTGGGCTCATATTTTAATTTGATATCCATAAAGATCAACATGTGAGCTACCAATATCAATTGGTTTTTTATCTTCAACGATGGTTGATATCTTGACAAGGTTGTAAGGGCGAAGGGGAAATGTGCACTCTCCATTCAGAATTATTTATTTTGCATATTATCTTGTCGTATACCTGCACATTGACATCAAAACTTTTCTATCTAGTGGGAACACTTCCTATGGTCTTCGTAACACTTCTACAGCTATTGTTAAGGTGAGTTGTGTTATTGTAATAACTCAACAATTTGTTATTCCCAGTGGATTTCCCATATGTACGAGGAACAAGCCCTTGACTTAGCCCAAATCAAGTCAACTTTCACCTCAAATGACTTAAAAGCCCAATCTTTAAGTAATTAAATAATAATATATCTATTAAAAACCCGTCTCGACCAGTGAGTATATATCCTTAAGCTTTCAGTGAGTATATATCCTTAAGTTTTTGGGTTGAGTGGTGATTCTATGTAATATTTTCTTGCATTTATATAGTATTTGATTATTGCTTTGGATTCTGTCACAGGTAGATAGTGCAGAATCTTTTATGGAGGCAATGAAGGATGCTAAAATTATTCTTGAAGTTGAGGTGGGATTAAGAATTTATTTATGACCTTGAAAGCATTATTTTAGTTTACAATTAGCTAAATTACTCTTTCTCCATAAATATGTATTTACATGATCCTAAGTGATGAACACAAATTTTTAGTGATTTAAAGATGTCAATGCTTTTTCTTTTTCTTTTTCTTTTTCTTTTTTTAATACAACAATATGCGGGTTGCATGATTCAATTCTTCGACCTTGTGGTCAAGGATACGTGTTTTATGCTAGTTCAACTATGCTCATATTGGCTAAATATGTTTGTGTCTACCCATTTCCTTTTATGTGTGTTTTTTTTAAATAGTTAAATGACTACTTGCTTTCACAGGACCGCAAAAGAAAAATCTTGGACCAGTCTTCCATATTGGCACAAAGCGTCCAAGGGAAAACTGTTATTAATGAGGCCTTGCTTGATGAGGTAATATAGTTGTGACGTTCTTGATTTCATTATTCTAAGGATGTTCTTAACTCTTTTAAGATAACGCGTTAGGTTGTAAATCTTGTCGAGAAACCTGTTTCAATACTTGGAAAGTTCAATGATTCCTTCTTGGAGCTTCCAGAAGATCTTCTAACAATGGTAAGGTTTTAATGTTCTTCCAGAAGATCTTCTGGTATCATAATTTTATGCTATGTTTTATTATATTTCCCGACACGAAACAATGCCTGCTCGTGGAAGTTCGCTCTAATTTGGTAACTCCTTTCACAATAAATTTAGATATCTCTCTCTTGCAGCATACAACCCTTCTCTTTTGTATCTACTATTCTGCTCAGTTTGTGCTGGTTTAGCAGTGGTGTCTCAATTTTTTGTAATTGTCTATCAGGTTATGCAGAAGCATCAGAAATATTTTTCACTTAGAAATGCTAATGGAAAGCTGATGCCATACTTCATTGCTGTGAGAGTCACTTTGTCAATCTGTAGATCTCAATATTGTACCGTCCCCACGTGTAACTCTTGTTAGTTCATTTTTTGGTTTGGATTTTTCTTTCAGGTAGCAAATGGAGAAATTGATGACAAAGTTGTAAGAAAAGGAAATGAAGCCGTACTAAGGTAGTTTTGTATACATATATTCCTGATTATTTGAGAGTTGTAATTTGGACATGTGCATAATATGTGTCACGACGTGATTTTCGGCTTGATCATGACTTAAAATCTTGAAAATATAGAAGGAAAAATAAAACACGGTAATATTTTCGCATTTAAAACAAAACATAAATACATTTTATTTATGGATCCAAAATAATGTTTGAATACATTGGGCCTGGTGAACACAACAACTCAAAACATAAATACATAGTTGAAAACGGTGTTGTTCTGTATGACACCTGCTCTAGATCCACTCCCAACCTCGACTAACTCCTTAGTTACCTGAAAAACATGGAAAACATGGAGTAAGTACAAATGCTCAGTAAACTCTTAATTATGTCACGACGGTTGCTAGGGTCCACACTCTTTCTTATTATGTTCTTGGCCTGAGAACTTAGGTCCTTAGATTCTGTTTTTTGAGTTTCGAGTTCTTATCATGATCTAGCCCGAAGACCTTGGTTGATTGAAAAACAATAGAATAATATCTTGAAATGTTTGAAGCTATTTTTATCAATGATGAATAAAGTTTATATAATTGTGCTTATTGCTTAAAAACTTATTTCAATAAAATAACTTTATAAGTAAATGATGTCAAACACTCTCTATTCCCCTAGCTCAGTCATTGATGCAGAAATCTAATAGTTAAGGTCTGTTCTTTACTTTTTCAGAGCTCGCTATGAAGATGCCAAATTTTTCTACGAGACAGATACAAGTAAAAGGTTTTCTCAGTTTAGAAATCAACTGAGTGGTATCCTCTTTCATGTGAGTTTTTAGTTTTGCAGTATCATGCATGAGTTTTTGGCTCTACGCATGTTCTTCTACTTCTAATAGCCCATGTTTCTTTTAAAAATAGGAAAAACTAGGATCAATGCTTGACAAGATGACACGTATGGAAGCAACGGTTGTGAAACTAAGCCTTGCGATGGGATTTAGTGAAGATTTGCTTGAAACTGTTCAGGAAGCTGCATCCCTTGCCATGTCAGATCTTGCTACTGCTGTTGTCACAGAATTTACTTCACTTGCAGGATTAATGGCACGACATTATGCTTTGCGTGAAGGTTTTTCAGAGCAGGTACTTTGTGTTATATACTTTTATAAGGGCGTGGGAACTCTTCCTACCTAGCAGACACATTTTAAAAACCTTGTTAGTATTTGTATAAAAAATACTGCATGCCTAATTATCTAGTTAGTTAAACAATTAACCACTCTATCTTTGAGCCTAATATTTTGCTTATTATAACTCTATCAGTTATGATGTTGACCTGGATTCCCTGTTTTTGTGATGTTTTCCAGATAGCAGAAGCCTTGTTTGAGATTACACTTCCCAGATATTCTGGTGATATTCTTCCAAAGAGTGATGTTGGGATAGTTTTGGCTGTTGCTGACAGGTCAAACTACACCCAAACTTCATCTAAATTTCCCTTTTTTTACTATCTTAATAATTTATTGCTTTAAGGTTCTCTATTTTTATGTGCTCTACAGATTAGATAGCCTTGTTGGCTTATTTGCTGTTGGCTGTCAGCCTAGTTCTACAAGTGATCCATTTGGCTTGCGGAGAATTTCTTATGGCCTTGTAAGTTATTTTAAAATGTTCAAAGGAGACAACAATTACAGTTGAATAAGTGAGTTGGTAATGGCTATTTGTAGGTCCAAATATTGGTGGAGAAGGATAAGAATCTTGATCTAGAGCGAGCACTGAGACTTGCAGCTGATACCCAACCCATTAAAGTTGATAGCAACGTTATTGATAATGTGAGAAGCAGTTTTATATTTTAGATCTGTGAAAGTTGGATCAACGTATTCCTTTCATAATGAGAAGAATAAAAGGTTAAATGGTAATATCAAATAAGGGCAATTACCTGTAGCCGTGTTTTTTTTGTAGCAATTATCCCTGACCAACCATTTTTATACCAATGCATTTGGGTGGTGTCTTAGCAGCAATAATTGTAACAGCCCAACCCCAACCCCAACCCCACCCCCACCGGTAGCAAATATTGTTCTCTTTGAGCAATCCCTTTCGGGCTTCCCCTCAAGGTTTTTAAAACGTGTCTACTAGGGAGAGGTTTCCACACCCTTATAAAAATGTTTTGTTTCCTTCTCCAACTGAGATGGGATCTCACAATCCACCCCTTTGGGACCCAACGTCCTCACTAGCACTCGTTCCCCTCTCCAATCAATGTGGGATCTCACAATCCATCCCCTTAGGGGTC